GCTGCTGCCAAGTGTAGTGCGTTGAAAGGTACCTCCAGAAACTGGTCTAGCTAAAGCTTTCGGGAATCTAAAGCAAATGAAGTAGAAACACTAAATAACAATAGTAGAAAAAAAGACAGAAAACTGTTCCTAGAATGAAGCATAAGCTCTGAATTTAGCTTATCTAGCAGAGGGCTCAGATTCTCTTCTCCCCCCTCTTGCATTTATTTGGTCCTTTGAAAAGTAGAGACAAGACTAAGCATTTCAGGAGTTACAATGAACCTTTCATTTCGCTTGCTTAATGCAGAAGTGCTGATCGTGCAGGCCTTCCTTTCAAGAGCTTATACAATGCCATGTTGTGTTGTGGGGTTTTTGTTTTTTTTTTTTTTTTAAGGATTGCTACTTGGCTTCAAAGAGACCCTGAACAATTTAAGAGGAGGGGTGGAAAAAAAAACCCAAACCAAACCCCCACACATCATTTTCAAGTGTTCTGAGAACCCTAGAGAGCTCCTTCTGGTGTTGCATCTCTGATACAGCAGATGACTTCAACACTGCTTGCAGAGGTGTCAACTTTCTTTTTTTTTTTTTCCCTTTCCTTTAAAAACCCCACAGTGTTTAGAACCCAGTTAGAATGTGGTTTCCCAGCCTCTCTGAGCACGCTTGGTAGAGGGCAGAGGGAAGGAAAGTGTCTTCTGCAACTTAGAAAAGCCTAAAAGGGCCTAAGCAATGAGGAAAAGCAGGTGCCATCTGCTGTCCTGTGGTGTGAATGGAGAGCCGACAGACAAGAGTAGGTCTCTATAATTTTATTCTCAGTACTTACACAGTCACTGCACCGTGCTACAAGTTATTAACTCACAGCATCCTATTGCATGTTATTAGATTTGCACAAACCTAGCAGAACGGAACATTCTGCTTATGGTTAAACCATTGCCATCAACACTTGCTACTATCTGAAGAACAAACCCCTTTTGTTAGAGGATGCAGTCATCATCTTTAAAAACTATATATAATTTCCGTAATCTTTTCCTAATGCTTCAGACGCATGTATCGAATTTGAAATCGTTTACAGTTAGTCTTATAAAGTTCTGCTTGTTTTTCTTCCAAGGAAAATAGCAGCATATTGCAAAATAGGAAGGTCCTGTAGCAAAATATGTAGTTATTACTAAATAATCCATCAAAAATGTTTCTAATTATGACAGTCCTGTTTCATTTCTTCGCATATAACATGTGTTGCAGAATTGACTCAGACAAACTCTACACAGGTATATTCACAAAGATAAAGCAAAACAGTCTTCCGTAGTACCAAGTCAAGAAAGTTGGTGCTGTTTGGCAAGTAATTATTTGCCTCTTTACCGTTTTATGATCTGAGCTGACTTGAAGAGGAAGGTGGATGTGATCCCCAAACCCTGGTCAATTTGCATCCTCTGCCTCCCGCCTTCACGCCTTCTTTCCTCCTGACCCACCTTCAGAGTGGAAGATGAGGCACGCAGAGTTTGAAGGCGTACATAAACAATACCACAGAACTGAAGTTCAAAACCCCCGTAGCCTGACATCCAGAACAAGTAAATCATGTCTGCATTAAGCTTCAGTTAATTGAAGAAAGAGCCTATCGATCACTGCAGTAAAACACACAAGGAGGTCATCGCTTCGCTAGACCAACGTCCGTATTTTCATCTGCTTGAACGAACGTGCAGGGGCTTGCAAGAAGAACAAAGTTAATGCTGCTTTTTCCTGCGGTGAGTACTGAAAAGCCAAAAAGAGCGTGCCCAGCTGCACATGCTGCCTGCCTCAACAAAAAGGAAAAATGCATAAAGACTAAGAAGAGAAAGAAAAATATGTCCTTCTCACTGATGTCTTCGAGAACTGCTATTTAAGAGTGGCTCTTTCCAGCAGCATTAAAGTTTATTCTGGAAAAGCTGCTGATAGGGAGAGATAAAGCCTATCATTGCACAAGTTCACCACGTAAAATGTGCACTGTGAATACTTTTGAACGGTTCAATCTGATGCACTGGTTTTTTTTCCAGTGTGGTCCTTTGTGTAGCAAAGCATGGACAGACAGAGTCCCAGCTAAGCCTAAGATTATGAAGTGGTTACACTGGAACCGTAGCCTTACAAAGCAGCTCCTGCCACATGGGCTTTTGTGTGGAACCACAGCTTACTACTGCTTATATTGGTTTTGTTCTGCGTGCAGAATCCTAATCGGGTATTTGATGAAATAAACAGCTGGTGCCAATAAATACAGTTCATTTTAAGTAGTGTTGTCTTAAATGTTGCCATTTGTTTTCTAGGTATAAAAGTTCCCAGGAGCATACAAAATTATTTCCAGCGTGAATTGGCTACGCTCTCTGTGTGACATGAAGGGATTACTTCGATTAGACCTTCTCTTTGCTGTTCCACTGATGACTGACAATTTCAGTAACGACACTACAACACGGAGAATGTTAATTCATTTGTCTGGGCACTTAACTGTGTGCACATCAACTGTGAGCACAGGTGCTGCCAATTGTTCCACTGACGCACTTCTTGGCATCTATTCTAACACCTATATTTTCATGACACCATTAGTATCAGTTTTCTTCCCTGGTGAGTTTTTGTACTGAAATAGTCACTGTAAGATTTAAAAAAGTGCTTTTATCCCTTAGAGATTTATATCTAAGTTGTAGTATAGTCACAGAAGGGACTGCTACGATTGTAGAATGAACTGAACACCACGATGAGTACAAAGTTAAATATAAACAGGACATTGTGTTCAAGAGGCCAGGGGACCGCAATTTGTTCAAAAGAAGAAAGTAATGAACAATTCAAGTTTTGAACGTATTTATCACCTTCCATGGAGTAGATAAAAGCAGTTAGTGTTACTTTTGAACTGCTCTAATTGCACCAGCGCTCTTCAGGGTGTTGCCTGGGCGCGACTGAAGAGTAGTTCATATTCTCAAGTACCTCATTTTACAGTTACATTGCTTCTCATTGACGACACTAAATGCTTCAAAACAGAAACCAGCGCAATTAAGGCCGGGCTCTGGCATACCAACCTTCCCGGGCAATTCTTAGCTTTCCTTGAAGCCTTGGCTTGCACCCAGCTATAGGTTTGAAACTTGATGAAAAGGCAGAGCTGTTTTATGTGACTTACCTTTACTGTAACACAGCCATCTTGTTCAAGAATCAGACAGTCTAATAATTGAAAGTACCATACTAATCTGAGGAAAAAAATGGGTATACGTGTCCCACGAATCGGGCGCAATTTCAATGCCAAATAATTTTCAAAATCGTTTTTAAATAATTGCCTTGACATTCTCTCCCCCTCTAATACAGACCATTGGTTTTCAATTAGCCTTCTGTTTCTAGCATCTAAATGAGTAAGAAACAATAGTTATTCCTCTACTTATCCATTATGAATACAGCCCATTGTGATATGGAATACAGCTACTCTAGGCGCAGAAGTTGTCAAAATGCATGAAAGAACATTTAAGACACTTTAAGACTTTGATGCCAATGATATAGTGCACAGTATGCATTTGACTTAAGAGTACGAACAACTGGTTCTTTTGATTACCGTATCTAACCTCGAAATTAAATTGCCCAATACTCAGGCTACAGTAGATTTAGCCAGATTTGCTTACAGAATAAATCACTCAACTTGAACCCAGCAGAAATCTTATCCTCCCCTTCCAAACTGGCAGCAAATACTGCCCACCTTCCTCCAACCGTACATTCAGCTTGAAGTTACTGGCCTAACTCTTGGTATTTTCCCCATTCGTATTTCTTACATGAACTTGCAGCAGAAATGGTGCAAAATAGCAAGACCTGTTGGAATAGGCAGAAAGGAATTCAAACTTTAATCTGATTGGTTTAATTTTTTTTTTTTTAGCAGGAGGAAAAAGAATAAAGTTACAAGATTCTTTTAATATTTTCACAATGTTAAACTAAAACTGAGCTCTAGGCTACATGTGTAAGTAAATCTAGAACACAAAAGGGTTAAATAAGATCTTCTTTTAAGATACAAGAACTTAAGCTTTCTTTACGTTTAACAAACTTCACAGAACAGATACTGCAAAGGAACAACCCCCTCCCCAACTTTTTTTGTTTAAAGTGAACATTGTCCATAATTCACGTGAACTTTAAGTAGTGTTCTCTCAAGAGCCACCTTGAAACCATCTGTGCACTTGTAACGAGATTAAAGAGAATACTAAGGAGGAACAAAATAGCATCTTCAGTATTAATGCAGGAGAGTCTTGTGCATCAATCAGAATGCCCATCCAATGCTATGACAGGATTTTGTAGGAAAAGAAAGTGCGTATCACAGCAGCCACCAAAATCCATGGTTTTTTTTTAAACTCCTCACGGCAAATGTAAATAATATCCTTGGGCAGTCCCGCTCACCGGGACCGTTTCCTGAAAATGCAGCACATCACAGAAGATTTTGCTGCTGGTTTCATAGTCTTGAATAATAACAATACTAAAAAAAAAAACAAAAAAAACAAAACCTGACCAAAAAACCCACGCTCGCCTTTTGGCTAGCTTGCATTTTATAACGATGGGCCACTTCTGATTTGCTTCATGGTTAATTAATGCTAATACAGTCAGATGCTGAGTGTGTGTGTGGAGACATATATGTATATATATATATTCTTTTTTTTTTTTTTTTAAATTAGTTTTCTCCTTGTTAAATGCTCCCAGCTGGCTACCAAAGGAAAGGAACAATTGGCCTATAAGGAGTTAGTTACCTGCAACACGTAGGATGGAGGATGACTCTCACAAGCTTACTCCCAAGACGCTGGGGTTTTTTTCAAGCAGCACGTTACTTCACCCCTCTGATGTTGCGTATCTGCCCAGTATTCGAAGGTGAGGCAAAACCTTTCCCTCCCTCAGGTTTTCTTACAAATTTGCCTGATTGTTAATACCTTACTAACAGACTGAGAAGCTATATTCACTCAGGATTGAGCTGGGCCGCATCGGTACGAATCCTTTTTACCTGCAGTAACCCCGTGTGCAGCAGGAGACGTGCCGATGGTGAGGTTTGCTTTTTTTGTTTCCCAACTGACAAGACTGGTGCAATTCAGCTCAGCTCAACGGGCCATGCCGTAATACAGAACCGGAGGTCTAACCAGATCCAAAACATTCTACTCCACGTAATGCTTTTCACGTTCACTTGCTATACTTGCTTTGCAATAGATGCGGGCAGAGATTTTCATGAGAGCGTTCAGCTGCATAGAAAGAGGGCTGGTGTAGCCCATTTGATTATCCTATTGACACTCTGGAAGTGAGGAACACAACCTCAGTCTGATAAAGGGTGCTTTTACCGGTTGTTCCCCAATACTGTTACTGAATTCCGTTTGCTACAAAACGTCCTTTTTTTTCTTTTTTTTTTTTCTTTTTTTTTTTTTCCCCAATATATAAGTCTAGCTACAGAAAGTCAGTCTGTAGAATCCAGCCATGGCTACTGTGCTGTGAATTAGCCTTATTTGATCAATTATCAGATACCTGCACTTAGCAAAAGGCAAACAAGAGCCAATCAGGTTTCGGCCGGTGGGAATGGCTGCACTGCTCAAGGTATGTGGAATCTGTTCACACAACTCGTAGAATCTCCGTGGATGCCATGTAAAAAGTATGCACCATTTGCTGCTCTGGGATGGAGTTGGCTCTAAAGTGAGATCATAATTTAACTGAGAAGAAAGAAAGAAAAAACCAAAAAACCCTGATAGGTTCTTTATAGTAAGATAGATATAAAAATTTTTTCATAAGAATCTCTGTCCCCCCTTTCTTTTTGGCTTCCTGGGAAGAACCAGAAAGATGTTCCTACCCCAACAGAATCCCTGATGCTGGTGACACTGCCTAACTCAAAAGCCACACGCGATGAAGGCACGAGTGACCAGTCAGGTCTTCTGGGCTTAAGCAGCTGCAGTTGCTGCTCTTAGTAGTATTTCACCTCCTCAGGATTCACTAGCAGTGAAGAGGTGAAAGGCTGCACATTAAACAGTTTGTCCGAAAGCCACGTGCATAGCAAACTTTTACACCAGGTTCTATACAACTATTTGTTTTAACTCTGCAGCTGGAATGTTTCCAGCGTAAGGCTTTTAGAGTGACTCCAGCAATAACAGAAGCCTTTGGATTTTTCTCGGTTTGTTTAAATCCACTAGCCATGCTCAAAAAGAATATTTCTTCATGTTTTATTTTTATACAGTGGCTAGCAGGCACCTTAGTAACCAGCCAGAAATCAATGTCAACCACCATCAACCCCTAAACTACAGTACCAGGACGGTTGGCTAAAGAAAGGAAACTGATTGGCTGTAGTCTGAAACTTGCCTAGTACAAGGTGTCTGGCTGACTTTGTCCTAAATAAGGCTAACATTAGTGAACTAAGAGAACAGCATTTGGTTGCAGTCTTGCACTCAGGAACATCCTTCGCCAATGCGTTGGCAAGATCTCCCTACTTTCCGATCCAGTTTCACCATTTTCATAATGGCTTCCTCACGCCCACGTCCCATGTGGTCAAACGTGCAGTCATGTTGTTCAGGCAGGCGATGTAACATACAGAACACATAACCTACCATGGGAGGGGAGAGAAAAAAAACAGTTAGGGATTTGGTTAAAGTGGCAGGATCTTACCTGAATCCGAAGGGAAGGATCACCTGCGGGGGGATTACTCAGTTGCCAAAAATTAATGCCAGCTTTAAGTTAGCTTCCTTACAGGGAATTAATAACTATCTGATTATTTACTGCAGTTTTTTGAGTATTTATCAACACAGTATCAAAGCTCAAGTCATATTAGGTTTGTGGGTTGTTTTTTTTTTTTTGCCATCCTCTCATCTCATAGAGGAAGCCCCCAAAATCATCTGAACTAGGTATGCCCAAATAGGAAACAAAGCTAATTTTTAAATTTTTTTTTAAAAAAAGCTGATCACCTCCACGGAAATCTTTTCTACTTTATGGGGAGTTGGTTGTCATTTCTGAAATTCATGCCTATGGTTCTTCAGATTTAGCTCCCAAGCAGGCATTCAAAGTCAGAGCTGTTAAACCTAAGCACCTTGCTTCCTCCTTACTACTGCCAGCACCCCAAGCTGGCAGCGGCTGTGGGAAACTTCACTGCTCCACCACTGTTGGGAGTCTTCAGAAGCTTCTCTTCATGAACAGTTCTGACACTAAGCATGGGGCATGAACAGGCATTTGACACAGGGACATGTCACGCCACATCATCTTGCTCTGCAGCTGAAAAGATGCAGGTTATTGAACTTGAGGCAGAGACTTCCATAGAATCATAGAATGTTTTGGGTGGGAAGGGACCCCTAGAGCCCACCCAGCCCAACCCCCCTGCAGGAGCAGGGACACCGCTAACCACATCAGGTTGCTCACAGCCCCGGCCAACCTGGCCTGCAATGTTCCCAGGGATGGG